CTCAGATAAGCTGCTACTCGATGCCTGCCCTGTAGAAACTATGTGAGATATCTTTGCTTTTCTAAATCTGTCAATATAGGGGGTAATCTGCTATACAAAGACAGCTATTATAACACTCATGCGGGACCTCTTTTTGGAGAAATCATGGCCTTGTTTTGATATATGACAACTACGTATGTGGGTAAAACTCATGTGATTTTGAGAAGGAATGCATTGCCCAGTGTCAATATATGGTGGATTCACATGTGTAAGGAAAACTACCTGCAGTGCTGATTTCTATAAGGGGTGAGGGTCTGTGCTTTCAAAGGTAAATGCTCAACTGATTTTTTTTAAAGTGCAATTTGCAAAAAAAAAAAAAAAAAGGTGCTAGCAGCCTTACCATCTTGTTTCTCTTTTGTTGTAACTATTCCCTGCTCTTCTCCCACACCCCATACCCCCAAGCACCTAGGATCATGTTTTACACAAGTGGGCACTCAGTTTGCACGTTGAATAATGTCATATTCTGATGCTTTCTTTTAAGAATTATTCTCTTTACTCCTGCCCATTCATTCTCTTACACCAAACATCTTGTTCCAAGAAGTCCTTTTTTTTTTTTTTTTTTTTTGAGGAGAAGGAATCATGATGTCCTCTTCTTGTCTTCATCTCTAAGGAAGCGTTTTCTGTTAAGTGTTATTTTGAGGGTCATGGACCAGTGGATTGGGTAGTTAAAAGAGGATTGGCCTGGTTTTGCCCAGGATTAAAGAATACTTCGTTCTCTGTCTTTTGAGAACACTGGCCTGGCCAGTACCCTGTGCCAGGGCAACTTTGAGGGGGTGATGGCCCTCAGGAGACTAGACTGAGACCCTTGGCCACCGGTGGGGAGGCAGTGCCCACCACTTTCTGTGAACCTGAGTTGTGCCTCCGTTTGGATGTCAGGCAAGCGCAGATCGAGCCTCTATGCTCGGGCTTAGCAGTCCGCCTCTGTCAGCTTCAGTGCTCGCTCGGGAGTATGATGAGAGAGGCGCATTTATTTAAGTCTCATTAGGGCTGATTCCTGCTCCCACTCAGTTGTGAGTCTTCAGCTTTGTTTAGAAACTTGTGAATCATTAACTGAAACTCTAGAGCATAGCTGTGAAAATAATTGTGGTTCAATCATGATGTAATAAACTTCTTTCAAAGTAACATTAAAAATAATCTGCCCCCAAAAAGGGAAAAAATAATAATCTGCCAACCCATGCCACCTGTCAGCACAAAGTCCCCGGCAATGTCTGTCTGGCTGGGAGGAGAATCGTAACACATAAGGTTGCCGTGCAGATTTCCTGCGCGTGGCAGGGGCTACTACTCGGTGAGTCTGTCCCCTGAGGGAGAGGAGAGTGTTCAGCTGCCGCCTGCTGCTCCACAGTTGGTGTTTGGATGATACCACTCTGGGGAAATACACACAGTGTCAGAGTCAAGCTGCTACCAGTGGGTGTTTCTATACACAGCCACTAAGCAACAGGAAAGTTCAAGGGGAAAAACTGGGTATTGTAAAGATAGCCTTGGAGAGTCCGTGACATCCAGTGTGACCTGTTCTTCAGCAGGCTGTGCTGTGCGCTCCAAAGAACATGCTGTCTGAATGCTGCGAGCGAGTGTTTTAAATCTTACTGGAGACTCCCTGTAAATGTTGCCACTTGAGGGATCTGTTCGGAGAGAAAAATACAGCGTGCCCTCCCGGGATGCCGCTTGGATTCCGTTACCCGTATTGCATATGGGATCGAGTGTGGCAATGCTTTTATCACGACTATAAAGCGCTTACGAGCCAATTCCTCATATAAAACATACTCCATAACGTTGAGGCTTTTTTTTTTTTCCTTTTCTGTTTCCTCCTTTTATTTCCTCCCTCTCTTTCTTTCCTTTTCTTTCTTTTAAACGACAAACATGGTGTCAGACAAAGGGCCTCGGGACTTACTCTCTGTAGCACAAAACAAAACAACAACACGTAAACACCTTTGTGAAGGCAGCTCGAAACCCCATGTTTTCTATTAAAAAGTCATGTTCAATCTTCACTGTTGATAGAACTGAATCGCTAACACAGAGAACACTGTATATCAGAAAGGTCAATAGTTATTATGAGCTACAAATTTATTTTTTTCCATCCTTCAGGCTGTTTAGCGCGTATCACAGCATGAGCAGCTGTCTTCTTTAATGCTTTTAAAATTAGAATCCCAAAGAGGAAGGCAAAATTATGGTTGCAGTGATTGCTCTTCGCTTTTGTAAGTTTACTTTAATATACTATTTTATATACACGACTCTTCCGTGCAGCCTGTCCATGGGGCAGTAACTGGTTGCTGGTGTCGAGCTGAACCGCCACGTCTGTTTTCTCAGCATCCTGGCCAGATCTCCATCTCAGGCACAGATGCTGTCAACATACCATATTTTCCAAAGGAGTTACAGAGAGGTGTCTGGTTCCAGAGGCACACTTGCAAGCACACATATGCATTCTGCCTTTTCATTGCTTTCAAGCTCTGGGACTAACCACAACAATGCCATGTGATGAGAAACAGTGGTGCAGAGCTGGGTGAAGAATCAGGCAGTGATTCAAACCATTGCTACACAAAGTATCTGGACGGCGGGTGCACCTCTTAGGTGGTTACAGGTTGAGCTTCTGCCTGTGCCTCGAACTCCTTGTCCTTACTCAGCACACAGCCCTAAAAGATGAGGACTATTTTAAATAGCACATGTAAACCCAGATCGGATGCTTCATTATAGCTCGCTTAGTCTTTGTTCAGGTTATTTACATTAAATATACATATTGAGTATCTATAATAAATGGGGACTGTTTATAACAATGCTTATATTTGGGAGGAGGGGAAAATATAGAACAGTGTGATGAATGCTACAAAGAAGAGCTGTGTAGGGTGAGGGGCTAGAGAGGGATGAGGGCCACGTTTTGGTCATGTGGACATGTGGGTGCAGATGCCACACCTCTGTGCTCATGATTTGCCCTGTGACTTCGTGACTCCACACCAGTAAAAAGCTTTACAGAAAACTGTTACTTGGGTAGACATGCACTAGTGACAAAGAAATTTTAGAAATGGTACCCTTTGAACTTTGGGCCCTAATTAAAATAAGTGATATACTAAAGGCAAATAATTTCCCATGTAGGAAACTCAGGGATTAGTTACTGAGAATTGTCCAGAGTGTCCCATGTCTCCCAGGTGTACCTGCTGGCCTTGTCAACTTTGGGGGTTCTCCAGAGAGAGCATCTTCAGTAGAAAAGTAGGATAAAGGCTGAGTAAATAAGTGATATACTTCTCTTTGGTGAATTTTGGTGATGAAAATAAATAAATAGAGCTGAGCATGTTTATTAAGAGGACTGAGTTTCAAGTTGTCTAGATTAGAAATGTTAATTGAAGAATTTAAATCCTAAGGGGTATTTCATCAGTAACAGAGAAAGAGAGGTGAGCTTCTGAAATGGGGGGGGGGAAATAAAGGAGGATGTGAGAGAAAAAATGGGAGAGGGGCGGGGCAGAGAGGGGAGTGAGCTGGGACTGGTGTTGAACAACTTAATCTCAATAAAGGTCGGGCTGAGATAATGGAAGTGGGAGAAGGAGAGGATTCTGAGAGTGGAAAAAGCTCTGGAGCAGCCCATGTGGGCAAAGCAAGTAGGATCAATGGGAATTCAGTAATAAGATTACACACTGGTTACAAGTTACGTGGCTTAAATTTAAGAGCACTGGTTTTCTAGGATACCCTGTAATGGCTTTGTGGGTTTTCCAGGCAATGCTCAGCTTTCCCCAGGGACGGGAGCTGCCTACACAATGGGAATGAAAGTCAACAGGGTGAGGGATTCCAAAGGGTAAAGAGACAAACACATGAAAATTGAGAGAGTGTTGGCCTGGGGAAGAGGAAAGAATGATAGGGTAGGGTTGGGGGAGGAGGTGACATGAGTGAGGCAGCCAGTAGGGGGGCTTTGTTCAGAGAATGATTTGTGAGAATGCTATTTACTGCTTCTAAACAAATTTCTGTTTTTAATCTCGATTTTCTTCTATGTTAATAGAAAATGTGGAAAATAGGCAAAAGTATAAATAAGGAAACAAATCCCCAGTAACCTTACCACCCACCTTCAGTCACTATTAACACTAACAGGTTTTAGCCTTATTTGCTATTTCTTTATATATTTATTTCAAAATTAGAATCAGACCTGTGCATCGCCCACATTTTTTAATGTTAAAAAAGTCATAGCTCACTACGTGATAATTGCTTTTATTAGATGCTATTGGGGAATGAAAGGATGTTGGGGCTTTAGTGGCCTTGGTTGCAAGGCAGGTTTCAAAATAAGAAGTGATAATATCTGAATGTGTTCACATCAGTACATCACTTTCAAACACACTATTTTTCCTGGCTGTGTAATGTTCCATTGCACAGTGATTAATTTGAAATTAATCTTCCTTCAACTTCTTATCACTTCTTAGGGTGGATTTCTAGAAATAGTATTACTGGGTCAAAGTATATAAGCTTTTTTTTTTTAAAGCTAATTCATACAAATGTTTTTCACAAAAGTTGTGCTATGTCAGTTCACATGTTTATCAATATTGTTGGATGATGTTGATATTACTTGCCATCTTATTTGATAAAACATAAGTTAGCAGAAGATACAAGAAAACCTGAAAAGTGAAAAATTACCATGTGTTTGATTTGCATTTTTATTTCTAATGAGGTTGAACAATGTTCTAATACACACTTACTGGCTGTTTGAATTTTTTCAGTGACTCATATATTGATGCCTTCTGTTTTCCAACTGAGTTCCAGTCTTTTTCTTATCAATCTGAATGAGATACTTGTACATATTAAAACACTACCTTTGATACATATTTCTTGTAAATATTCCATTTTTTCTGCCTTTTACTTCTGTTTATAATGTTCATTGATACACATATGTTTTGAAATTATAGATAGAAAAGTCTAAACATTTTTCACTTTGTAATTTCTTTTGTTGCTCTCGTACCTTAGGAAGTGTTTCTCAATTTTTTTTTAAACAGATATTTGGCATTTTACAAGTGAAGCATGGGATGGCTGTACCAATGGGTGGCTAAAGGCAAGTCAAGAAATGAGTCTGAGCTTTGGCGGTGGAGGAAATGTGTGTGGAATCGTTACCCGTCCTGGAAACTCAGGCTGGCATCTCTTGCCTCGGGGTGCAGACGGCTGCACTGAAGCCACAGAGCACGTGCCGACGCGCCAGAGGAAGGGAGGTGAGAGACGTGGGTGCTGACAGACGGTGGCTCTGAGAACAGGTAAAGAATGCTTTTCTTTTTTTTTAAGAGAAAGTTTTCAAGTGATGATGTTGGGGGAAATGGTGCAGAAGTGGCAGTGGGAGCACCGGAGAGTAACCTCTGTTCTTTTACACTGAGAGAATTAGAAGCTTAGGAATCGTGGCCTCAGTTAAGAGCGAGTTTCGAGTCGTGGGCTCCAAGGAAGAAAGGTCTGAAGAAAGGTGAAGAGGCAGAAGTGGGGCTTGTGGAAAAGATGGTGGTGATAACTGACTTCACTCCTGATTGGGGTTCCCAGGTAAAAATACAGGTACCTTGTTAAATTTGAATCTTAGATAAACAATGACTGCTTTGTTTTGGTTTTGTTTTTTAGTATGACCCAAATATTGCATATACTTTTCAATTTTAACTGCGTATCCTGTATTTTTATCTATTAAACCCAGCATCCCTGCTCATGGAAGAACAAGGATTCTGTGCAGCACCGAGGAGGGATTTGAGGGGAGGGAGTCACGTGGGTGGCAGGAATGAAGAATGGAGTTTGGAAGACTTGGCCTGGGATACTTCTGTGTGATGCAGAAAAACTTGTGAATGGCTGGAACTTTCTCATGGGAGAGGGCTGGAGAACCAAGCAGTCATGGAAAATTCAAGTGACCGTTGGTGTGAGGAAGGAACTTTTTCAAATTTGCCTCAGATGTGGCATCCAGCACGATGGCCAGTTGTTATTTTCCTGTGTGAATGTGTGTGTTCTGGGTTGGTGGTTCTCCACAAATGTCTCCTGAGTCGGTGTCTTCTGCTAATTTATTATTATTATTATTATTATTATTATTATTATTATTATTTTATTAATCTTACAGGAAGAATTTGACTAGGCAACTAAAATTTGTTGGGTTTTTTCTGGCTGTCTTCCAGCACATCTTGAAGTGGTTATTTTTCAAAATGTTTTCAGTTAGAAGCCCTGTGTTAAATCCACCATCGATAAAGAACAGAGGTTTATTTATTGGAGAATATTCTTAGTAACATTATTTATACTTCGCAATAATTTAGAGGAGCCAGAAGTGGGAGATAGCCCAATAATTATCTATATCTGTTATTTTGCGAATGAAAATCTATTTTTGACATCTTTAATTAAGCAAATTTCCTTTCTCTTCTGATCCCAATAAGTTTCAGTGACCACTGGTCCATCTCAGTACCTTGACAAAGTCTTCTAATCCCCTGGCAGAAGTAGCCCCACTTGGCTGCGAGGAAAACAGGGCGCCATGCTTATGGTCTTGGTCAGCTAATACCGGTGTAGGCGTCATTTCCATATCTGAACTTGGTGTTAGGTCATCTGTGTATTTTCATAGTCTTCCCACGTGGTAGGGATAAAAAGGCAGTCATTTTTTACTGATTCTATTTACATAGTTTGTAATTAGCTTTGCTGCAGAATTACACTCTTTCCTTCAATTTAAAAATATGAAGGCCTTTGCTAATGGTGATGGTAAAAATGGGGTAGAAGCAGCCTTTTCTCAAACTGGGTGCAAAGCAGATTTGTAGATATTAATTACTGTCTCCTTTCCCCGTGTCACATTCAGCTCTAGGGATGTACTTGGTATTTTTAACATCAACACTTCAGCATCATATCAGGTGGCGTCTGGGTCTAAGTGTCTGCTCTGTAATGCCAAATGATTATTTTAAAATCGGGCACCACGTGTCCCTTGTGTCCCTACGGTAGCTGCACGCTCCCGCTGCACTCGTCTTAACTGTTTTGTGGTTAATTCTCTCCACTGCGGGGATGCCAGGTATTTACGGCCGCCCTTGCTCTAGGGCTCCACTTCTTTGACCTGATGTGAGAGTGAATCCATCTCTAACAGTAGGCTGTCTTTTGCCCATTTCTCCATTTTATTATTGCATTTATTCCTATCAAACTCCATTGGCATGCCATTAATAAAGTTCTTAGCATTTTTTAACAGCTTGCGAAGTTGCATTTTAGAAACGACACGAGGGCTCAGATTGCATGCCTGGGGATAAGCCCCTCCTGCCACTTAGCCTCCCTTTTACTCGGAGATACAACCTGCGTCCTTTAGTTTTCTCCTTAATCCCTTTAGTTACAAGCAAAACCAAATACATTCAAATAAGTTTCCCTGAAACAGTAGATGATTTATACATAAAACACTTGAGATCGAGCACTCCTTTATTCTGTAGAGAGGATTTAGCATAGTTTCTACTCCTTGCACAAATAATTCACAGATTTAGTGATGATTACTAGTGTTAATTATCTACGTGGGAGATCCTATTGCCTTTACTTTCTTCTGGTAAGTTCTGTATATTATTCTTGGGGGTTTTAAAACATGTTATATTCTTCAATTATAAACATCTGATATACTTGATAAACTAGCTTATATCTAAAGTGGAAACTGAAAAATGTCAAGCCAGCCTAGAAAGATCTTTATTCCGAAGGCTATGTCTTACCCTTCAAAGTCTTTTTGTTGACACTAATAACCAACATCTACAATCCTTTCTCTCAAAGTTGAATGCCTCTTCCCAACCAGGTGAAATAGCAGTGTGTACGTAAGTCACTTAGGGGAAGACAGATGTAGCCCTAAACGGGAAACAAGGGCAAAGACGAAATTATCTTTCTACTAAGAGAATTAGTTTATTTTACAAAGAATATTCTCGTACACAATTTGAAGTCTAACATTTTAGGAGATGTGTGTTAAGTCCAAAAACATAAAGTTATCAATAAAAATCCTTGCTATTTTGACAACAATTTTCCTTTCTCTTTTTGGCTCGTTGGGGAAGAAAGAAAGCATTTAGATACATGCAGAACATGTAAGTAATCTCAGTAAGAAGATATTCTTGGGATTTTCCATATTTATATATTTTTTCCTACATTGTATTTTCACTACCCAAGAGCCCTGGCTGTTATTTTTTTCCGAAGTCTGAAGATCACCCCACGGATTAACAAATGATTGAGGAGTCTCTCTTAAAAGACTCTTTAAAAAACTGTCAGAATCAGCCTGAGACAAAGATTTATTATGAACTATTTAAGTGGCTTAATATATGTATCCCCAATGAGCCCTTGGAGCAAACTAAAAAGGAAGAGTGGAATTCTCAAAGAATAGGACAAATTCTCCAATGCCCTACTTTCTTCACACCATGATTACTGTTTACTCAAAGGATAAAATGCCTAACTTGTCACACAAAGTCTTCAGAAGCCACAGTCCTGCTGATGTACAGTAAAAACAAAACAATGAAGACCGACAGTAATGTGCTTGAGAACGGCAGCTGTAATTTACTTTCTAACCTGTTCACTAACACACTAATGTGGCTACATCTTGTAGCAAGAGCTGATCCCTGACCCACACAGCAATCAAACAACTATCCGAGTGGTGGCTGTCACAGAAGCTGGGACCGTCACCTTAATTATACGTTCCTGGATAACAAACCTTCCCTTAATGAGCAAGTTTTCTCCTACGTGCATCCTGGCTCGCCCCTTCTGTCCTTGAAAAGGCCCATTGCAGAGCACTGTGATTGGGGTTTGTGAAGCATATTCATAAGTATCCTTCCTACCAGGTAATAAATACTACCTGTTTGCTTTATGAGAATGCCAAGATATAATTAAAATTATAGACTTGCACTCCTGGGAGGCTCGAGAGAAGAATCACTCAAAACTGAAGGGAAACTTTTCAGTGAACTCAGAACCAAGCTTTTCTCTTTTCGTATCAGTAATATAATAATCATTTTTATTGTATTGTTTTTTTGGGGGGGGATTTATATTGGCAGTGAGATCCCCTCTGCCCCATCCCTTAATTGATACGATTTCTGCACTAGTGTTCCTTCTTTCCAGACATGGGACTTCTTTTATTTTCCTCTCATTTTAACTTTCCCTAATTCTGCTATGATCGGCTGACAATGGCCCAACAATTAACACAGACATATAGAACGGTCTAATAGGTTTTATGGTCGTCCCTTGGCATCCGTGAGGGATTGGTTCCAGGACACCCTACCCACTGGGAACACCAAAACCCACGGATCCTCAATCCCTCATATAAAATGTCACAGTACAGTCTGCTCTGTGTCTGAGGGCTCCCCCTGCAGGTGGGTGAAACCGTGGCTGCAGGACCCGCAGGTACTGAGGGCCAACTCCACCTTGAGAAGTAGCGCCTCTCTACGGCAAGAAGACCTATAGCACTGAGAACAAGCAGCCAAGACAATCTTAAGTGTAAAGATTTACTTCCCCATGTCACTAGCTCAGTGCTGGGTTGGGACAGGCCCATCAGCAAGGCAAATGGCATAGACTGGTGACTCAGTGCAGAAAAGGAAAGGGCTTGGAGACCTTTGATGGATTCTACTTTGATTTCGTTTTCATCTCCTTAGTACTTTGATTCTTTTTCTTTTCCCTTCATGTGGGTAGATACGTTTTCTCTGTAAAACAGTTTTGGTAATGTTCGATGAGATGTACAGTAATATGCAGAGTGCTTAGAGAACCCTCTTGTGTTCACTTTAAATATCCACGTGCAGTGGAATACATCAACTAACCCATGTAAGCCATATCGCTTGGCACGTGATGAGCACTCGGTGGATGTTAGCTTTTATGGTTGTAGTCGCTATTGCTAATATCTCTGCAGGCTGGTTCTAGCACCTATTTTTAGGATTACTGGTTGATCAAGGAGCAGGTGAGGACAGTAACGCTCCGCAGTCCCCTGGGTCCCAGAGCAGAGGGTCCTGTTCTGGACTAACAACAGTGGCACCCTTGGGCAGGATGACGGCCACAAACACGGAGAGCGGCAGCATGGCATGGTGGTGGGACATATGCCTTGGAATTAGGAGGCTTGAGTTCTAGGTTTGGCTTAGCAACTAAATAGCTCTATAGTCTAAAGTCAATCATGCACTCTCTCCTCCATCTACTCCCTTATCCCTATAAGGCTCATGATATTACATGTCTTACCCAACATCAAGAGGTCG